GATAGAGGCCCAAATTCTGGATTTGAAAGGCCCATTTCTTGTGGGCCCAAATAAACGTTTGATGAAGATGGCGCTGGGGTAGTTGCCGTTGTTCGAGACCCTCCGTAGAGAAATTCCACCCAAGTTCCCAACCAATCCAAATGCATATTGACATAACACTAAATTACACACACACACACAAAATAATAATAATAATAAATAAAAACCGAAGTATTCCATTCTTTTCTAAACTACTCATGTCATCGTTTGAAAAGTACTTTTTGGAATAAATATCTGTTAATATTTTGGACTAAAAGTTGACGTGATACAATTTAGAACGTCGTGATAATTAACATGAAAATTTACCTAGATTAAATAAAAAAAATGTGAAATAAGTTGCCATTTTTTAAAATAAGATTTTGACAAAATTAGTGGACAATATAGAAACAAACTCTCTTACCAACAAAAGAAATAAAATTTTGGTAAAATTTTGAAGTTAATTGCCAAATCATTTCAAATTTCACAATGTAAAATCTTTCGTTCAAAATATTAACAAATATTTATAGAAAAAGTAATTTTAAAGCGTTTATGGAATGTGACAGTATTGACATTTTTTAAAATATAGGAGCTTTTTTCTTTAATATTTTTGTAATTTAACATGAACATGAAAGAAGTTTGGGGTGATAATTTAATAATTGATTTATATAATATATATATATATTTTGTGGATTTGAAAAAGCAAATTCGAAAAGGTTAGGCAGGCATGGGCTACTTTAGTAGTCGTCCAGTCAGTGGTTGGCTTTTTAATGTTGTCTGTCGTATTCTCTCTCATTAAATTTCGTTACTGTTTAATATTTAATTTTATTTAAGTGCTTTTTAATTTTTTCCTTTCTAGAAGCGCATTTAATAGATTCAATACTCCGGGAAATAGTAATAGCATATTTATTTTACATGGATTGATTGATTTGAAATGAAAAATAATTAACTTAGAATCTAAAGTTTTAAATGTCGATACCTTAATTATACAGAAGTATCGATGTCGGTAGATTTTTCAAAAAATATTATAAAAATAAAAATTTCGTGAACGATTAACAAATAACTATTTCACTATTTTTAAAAAAGTAAAAAATGATTAATATTAATATTGTTTATAAATTTTATATTTGGTAGGTATATATATTTTTATAATATTATAAAAATGAAAATACTAATATTTCGATAGATATTTAATATAATATCTTAATTAAAGTGAGCAGAAACTAAAAGCAAGAAATAAGTGTGAAGTAGAGAGAGAGAGAGAGAGAGAGAGAGAGAGAGAGAGGGGAAAAAAGCGATAGGAGAAGCAGAGGCGGTCCATCACTCAGTGGTGGGTAAAGTAAGTTTTTGATTGTCTCCCACTAAATTCTGTCGGGTCGACCCTTTACACGACAATTTATTGTGGGTTGTCATTTCTCTCTCTTCTCTCCAATTTAATTTTATATTATCAAAAGTTATTTAGCTCATCAATTACATTTTTGTAACTTAAGAATTCAGATTTGTATGCTATTATGTTGCACGTTTATTGATCTTATTCAAATTTTCTATTATGAAATATCTCTCCTTTTCTTTTTCTTCTCTCTCTCGTTTTACACCTTCCAGAAGGAGGAGCATTTTTATATCTTAATTCGAATGTGAAAAATAGACGAGGAATGTACGTAAAAGTTTCATTTTCTTTTTTCTAGTACCTCTGAGAACACATCCGTTGGAGGTGGAAGTGGAGGTGGGTCCTGTGACTCAAACGATTAGAGCATGTGGTTGTAAACCATGATGTCGAGAGTTCGAATTTCGTTACCAAAAAGGAGAAGAACTTTGTTGAGACAAGAAACTCTCTCCTACAAAATTTTACAGATCGATAAGGAACAAATATAGTACTATTACGATTTTCTAAATCTTATTGAACATTTAAGTTCAATTATTGATGTTTCGAGGTAATTTTTCATTGACCACATGTCAACCTGTCATTTATCGGAGTGAACTGAGCTATTTTAATGGTGCAATTAGAACATCATATAAAAAACAAAATAAATTGTTCGTGATTTCTTAAAGGCTCGTTCGATCATTCGTAAATCCAACCAGTAGAAATTATAACAACTTTCCCTCGTAAGGGACAAATTCGACGTATGCAACAGGTCGTCACAAACTAACAACTACTTTTTTCAAGGCTTCGTAAATTGTATAGATAGTATTAATTGTTCATCAACTCCTGTCAGAAGCTAATGACTTCTATAAATAGGAAGTCTTGTATCACTTCTCTAGAATGTGAACCTAATCTCAAGTAATATATTGAACGAAACTGACTTGTCGGAACTTTTTTACTCTCTTTTGCATGTTCCTTCATCTATCAGCTTCGTCCAAATCTAAATTTTGCCGTGATTTATCATTTTCCTAATCAACCAAAAGTCAATATAAAAATCGTTTCGATTGATAAACATATAATGAATCATTGTTATAATCTGAAGACAAAAAATTAGAAAATTTATATATTATTGAAGCAAAAATGTTATTATTGTTATGGCAAATGGGATACTATTAATCATTATTAGGCATGCAAATAAAGTATTAAGTTAACTGATGAAATTGGATATATATGAGCACTTTTTGACGCCCATTTGGGAAGCAGTGGTGACGCTTCCTTAATTTCAATATTTGTTATAATTTATAATTATTAGACCTAATTAATAGTAATTATTAATTTTTAAAATAATTAACTATTTTCTTTGATTTAGCTTATCTAATAAGCCTCGTTCCTTCCCATGCGTATGCATATTGCATGCACGCTCGACGTCATATTTACATATTCCAATTGTTTCTAATGTTTTGTTTAATAATTATTTATGGTTTTTAAATATTATAAATATTCTACCCTGTTTTTTTCCCATCAAATCATACGTGTAATTTATTTTTTAAATAGGGATAGCTAAAGATTATCCTTATTTCAGTGGTATAATCAAATATTTTCCTCGATGAAATGAATACTGTACCTGCTCCCTCAATTTTAAATTATCAAATTTTCATTTGTGAAACCACACAAATTTATTATTAATTAATTTTAATAATTTATTTTACTTATCATAAAATTATATAGAAATATATTTACATTTTAATTTTATTTCATTGAATGATTATTTATGGATTATTTATATCCAACAACTTCCAAAAGTAATTTTGTATTTTTAAATTTATGGAATGTAGATTTTTACCGGACAATGATTTACAGATTTCGATTCAATGTTAGAAGATATGTAAGTATATTAACATTTTTCTTTTTTGTTATACAATATTTTGAACGAGCGACTTGAATAAGTCAAACCATTCCAAATATTTCCTGGTTCGATTGGCAATTGATTAGTTGGATCTAAAAAGTATATCGATCCAATCTAGTTCGACCCATAAACACGTTAATGGAGACTATACTATATGAGTAGTATTTTAAGGTATATTTGGTGAGCATTTAAAATGGGGGGAGTTGGGTGGTGATTGAGAAATGACCCTTAACTTACCAAACATAAAACTCTACCTAAAATCAAAGGGATTGGTCTTTTAAAACCCTTTAAAGAAACTTTGTTGGGAAGTTGAAATTTCATAAAAGGGGGAAAAATTGAAAATTTTACCCAAAAAAGAGAGAGTGGCAGAAAACAAAAGGCAATAATGAAAAGGAAAAAGGGTGTCAGTAAAAGGTGTAATGTGTAACTAAAGGAATTTAGGAGATGTAGAAAGGAGTGAGAGAGAGGGAAAAGAAAAAAAAAAAACTTTGGATTGTGACTTTTGTCTGCTAATATTCTAAATAGGTCCACATCAAAATAGTACCCCAAAATCAATGGAATTGGAGGGGCCTTCTTCTCACCTTCTTAATATTCATGTTAATTCTTTATTTGAATTTCCACTTTTTCCTCCATATTAAGATTGTCTCCTTAAATTTATTTGCAGTGTTATATCAATGTCTTTTTTTAAGATTTATTGTATTAGTAGGGATCGACTAAAAAGATTGATTCACCTAAATTTAGAGTATCGGAGGAATGAAATTCTAAGATTCGTAAAATATCTTTTATTTGACTCCAATTATTTTACATATTTGTTTATAGTGATGTATGTGTTCATCCTACTACTTGACGGGATACTTTTTTGTTCTATCCCAACTATTGATATGATTGATTGGAATTTATTCTCATATTTGGATTGTTATTTTTTCTAACTTCTAATGTATGTTATGTTTTTAGTATTGTTTGTTTGCTTTAATTATATTATTGTCTTCCTTATTTGTGTTCTTGCAAAAAAAAAATTTGTAGGTCTTTTTTTTTTTGGCTCCTTAAGTATGCCTTAATCTTAGTTGTGAGATCCATATTTATCTTCATGATAATATACGCGATCTTTGTAAAAAGAAATATATATATATATATATATTTCAAATTTTGCTTCTAAATTATATTATGAGAGAGAGTACTGCTCACGTGGAAATTAGTTGAAAAAAGAAACTTTCCTACTTTATTTAATAATACGAATTGATGAACTTTCATATGAAGAAATATAGAGAAAAAAAATCAAATTCAAAAGTATAATCCACCAACATAAACACAACTCAACAGGATCGAACCATGAATCCATATTAGTTTGAGTCGGAATTACTAACTCCACAGTATAAACTAAAACTTCTATAAAATAACATGGAGAGAAAAATCAAACTCAAAAATCTTTTATTCTATTCTAATAACATGTTATATTATTACTGGACCCAAAAACCAAACCAAATTTTTTAAAAATCAAAACGAGTTTGGAGATAATTATAGAGAGAAGTGTCTTTAGGTGAAATACATTTTCTTCCAACAAACAGCAATCAAAGTGTTGATTTTAGAAATTTTTAAAATGATTGTAATCAGCTAAAAGCACTTTCCACACTAAAAAACAGATTAATTAATATAAAGTCGTAAGAAAATTAAATGAAAAAAAAAAGGGAAGGAAAGAGGAAGGTTGATTTGGAAAAAAGAAAATCAAAACAGTGTTCCGGCTTCCTTTTTTTATCCTTGTCTTTGTCGTTTGACGAGTAGCATAAATTATTGAAACAGAATGGGAAAACCCGTAAAAGAAAAAGAAAAAAAAAACAAGTGGGAGAAAAATCAAAAACACTTTTTTTTCTTATATAATTGACTACCAAACATCATGATTTTACAGCCCCTTTTTCTTTTTTCTTTTACTTGGAAAGAAGATTCACACATTCATCCCAAATTCCTCAATCCTCTCCTCTTTCACCTTCCCCATTTGACTTCCTCCATCTTCTCCCCCCTCTAAAATCTTCTTTCCCGAAAGCCAATTGAAGCTTTAGAAATGCCCTCTCATGGCGGCCGCAGCCGCAGCCATGGCTGACCTTCAGATCCCCAGCAAAATGTAGTACACAAGCGTAATGGGCAAGGCAATCAACATCCCAAAAATAACTCTGCAAAACCCAGAAGAAGAAGAAAAAAAGAATGTAAAAAAAAGGAAAGAACAAACATTTTAATTCAGTTATTAAGGACCATTACTATGCTACATACCCTGTGCTGAGAATATCAGGGTGTACGTTGTACTCTTTGGCAAAGACAAAGGGGACAATTCCTTGTGGGAGAGCTGCCTGTTCCAAACAAAAAACAAAGAATTTTTTGTAGATGTGGTTGTGTTTGGAAAATCCAAACACATGGGGCAAAAAAACATGTTAAACAGAGCCACAGATGTTTGTTTCCTAACTTATCACCAAACAGGTCCTCTCCTCACCTATATTACCTCACAACTCATACTATTTCTATTTCAGATTCAATACTGATCATGGCAAACAATGAATGAGATTAGTATGAAATTAATAGGGTAAGTTTTCATTTAACCCCTCTGTTCTTGTTTTGCTTATTATTTACCTTCAAGAAGAAAGAAGATTTTTTTTCCATTACCCATTTGGATAAACTCTGCTTTACAGTGTGTATTATAAATGTATATATTAAAGAGAGGATTTTTTGAGTATATGCAGAGAAAAAGGAACGAGGGAGTGTCAGAGAGGGAGCGAATGGGTGACCTGGACAATGGCAACACGTAAGAGAACTCCTCTAAGGCCAACAGCAATGGAAGCAACAGCCATGACAGCTGGACCTGTAAGGAATCTCACAGCCATGGAAAAAGCTGCTATTGTATTCCCACATGCTATGATCCTTGGTTGCAAAGCCATGAACAAACCTGTCATTTACACCATACAACACCATTTAGAATCATTTCTCTCTCTCTCTCTCTTCTTTCTTTTTCCCCCCCTTAATAAAAGCAACTTTCATCATCACCACCACCAACCCATTTGAATCGAATCCAACACACAACAGAGCAGAGCAGGCAGAAAAGTGAAAGAGAAGCAGAAATAGCAGAGTAGTGAGGGGGGGACTTCACAATGCCACTGTTTTCCCTTTCCCTTTTCCCTGTTTTTTGCTGCCCCTTTTCTTTTCTTTTCTTTTTGTTTCTTAAATTAAAGAGATAAAGAGAGAGCGAAAAATGGGGATGTCTCAAGAACTTTACCAAGACTGAACATGGCCATGCCGAGGCCTGCATCAGACAGTATAGAAATGGACTTTGCGACAATGGCTGGCATTTCAACATTCCACCTTAAGATAATGAAAGATAATGATAATCAGAATCAAAGCTAAAACCCCAAATGGGGTTTTGAAAAAAAGGTTGCAGAGTGGAGGAATTTGGGCCACCTGAATGAGACTAAGGACCAAGTGAGGCCAATTAGGCTGGAATAAGTGTTGGGGTTTCTGATGAGTTTTCTCCAAACCATGATCAGAATGAGCCTTGTCATTACACTGGTGGGTGGCATGGTTTTGGGTTTAATATCTCCAACTTTCTCTGCTCCTCCATTGTTATTATTCAGAATCTCTCTGTTTCCGAAGCTGAAATCTTCCCTCTCTGCATACTCCTCTTGGTTTTCTCTACGACCCTCAACTGAAAAATCCAACCCCCAATTAACAAAAATGGAAGAACTAACCAAAAACAGAGCGAATACAGAATATAATTCATTAGAGAAACTTACCTTTTCCGGGGGAGACAGCCAACCTCACATCCTTCTGATCATGGTTTCCCCCAAATTCATGGTTTCCCCCAAAAACATCTGAAACAGGGGAAGCACTTGAACTCCAAACAAACATATGGAGATCTCTGTTTCCTTCCTCT